CGAGCAGATACGTAACAGTTCCGATCCCCCGTGGTGGACACGTCAGACAGCCAAATGTGGCTTTGCTCAAAAACAACCACCCCAAACACTAATTAATACGGACAGGTAAGTTACTCTACTGTCCATACATATAGACTGGTACAAATATCGCGGCTGCTCGTTTCTGCTAGGTTTTGACGGGATAATACGAGATCCATTGTATTTAGCAAAGCCAGTCCGCCATTTTTAGCCTAGAGATAACTACATTTTATTGTTATGAAGGACGTTTATTAGATTTTGCTATCGAAACATCGACCACTGATAAGTATTTATAAAATTTGTCATAACAAGACAACGGAGATAGAAGTTGACAAACAACGACGTGAATGGTAGGATTTTAAAATTAATATTGAAAAGATAAGTTTTCAACTAACCATGGCTAGTTAGTTCGAACGAGGTCTAGTAGTTAACCAGCTTCTCTTACTGTTAAATCTACCCAAACAACAAGAACCCAAGAAACTTAAAGTAGTGAATCATGCCAATTGGAAATATAGATAAGAAATGGGGGTTGGTGGTGTTTACTAGCTGCCTTCTCTCTCGTCTATCACTTCAAAAGTAAGGACGGCTAGCGCAGATAGTCCTTGAGTAGCTTTGCGCGAAAATCAACAAGCAAACAAAACTTACTGTACCTATTTATTACGTAGTTATGATATTAAAGTACGTCGATGTCGGGCAGATAACTTTAAAAGTATCCACAAAATGCAGATTCTGTAAGTATTTTACCTAATCGCCATCTTTCTCTGACTAGCTGCTGCTGAGATGAGAGGCTTTCCTACACTGGTCTACACAAGATAAAGACAAAGGTAATGTTTTTAAGGCTACACAGGACAAAGACCAAGAAAATCCTGATATATTACCGAAATTCTGATAAAACAATAAAGTACAGAAAACTAAAATCCGACGCTGCGTATTCTTCGACTACTCCAAATATCATTTATAGAGGGGAAATCTTAACTTATACCAACTTGTATAAGTATCTGTTCCACCATTTGAAATGTGTTCGCCATTCGCCAAGGGGTCGCTCTTAGTCAGACACAGAACCAAAATGATAATGAGTTTTTAGCCGTCAGTATACACTAACTGTACTACTTGCTCATCAAATCTCAAACCTCCCAAGCTAACTGCAGTATTAATCCGCCAAAACTTCCACCTTCCAATGCAGTAACTGTAAAATGTAGCCTTATTTGTTTTAGAACAAAGCCACATTTTGCTATCTGCTGTGTCCACCACGGGGAATCAAACCCTGGATTTTAGCGTTGCAAATCCTAAAGCTTACCGCTGTCCCACCAAGGGATAAAACCTAGTCACAAAGACTCAAACTTGAAGCATTAAATGTAATACTTAGTCACCAAAATTAAATCTTGCTAATGTAGTAACTGCAATCTTTACTCAACAAAGCCTAAACCTTCCAAAACGGTAACTGCAATATTTAGTCAACAAAATTCGAACCTGCCAATGTAATAACTGTAATATTTAGTCACAAAATTCAAACCAACTAATGTATTAACTGCAATCTTTATTCAACAAAGCCCAAACCTTCCAGTGCACTAACTGGAATATTTAGTCACCAAAATGCAAAGCTTTCAATGCAATAATTGCAATATTTAGTCGCCAAATCCAGACCAGTCAATGTACTAACTGCAATATGTAATACTGTGAAAGAAAGAGAGAAAAAAATACGTAGAGAAACACGCACGACACGCCAATTCATGCTGCTTGAAAAAGTTATATTTTCAATAAAGAATATATTATGATTATGGCAAAACAAAATTATACTCACTTTTGTTTATCAATCGCTCAACCAACATCGCTGGATTTAACAATTTGTGATAAATCTGCATAGAAAATAATTGAAAATACTGTTCATAAGAAGAGAAACTATTATTATAAGGTCATGGTTTAGAACTTTGAAACGGCCAGCTTCTTGGTTCTAAAAAGAAATTTCCTCCAAGACGTAAAATAGGGGAGAATATAATAAAATATAAAATGGTCTTAACCTAACTGAGTTGCTAAGTTGTTGTGTTTTAAAGGAAAATTATAAGCTATACTAAAAAAGAATCTGCTATGTAATATAAATTTTCCCATATCTAAAGGCACACTTCCACTTATTAAAAAAAATAGTGAATTTCTAACGTAAGGGCAGTATATTACGTCCCGTAATTAGTTGGTCTGGAACTTAAAGCGCTCGACTCGTAATCTGTGGTTGGTGTATTCGAATCCCGTCCCCGAACATGCTCGCCCTTTCAGCCATGGAGGTGTTAGAATGTGAGATTCAATCCCACCTTTCGTTGGTAAAGAGTAGCCTAAGAGTTGGTGGGAGTGGTGTTGACTAGCTGCCTTCTCTTAAGTTTATATCTTCATAATTAGGAACGGCTAGCACAGATGGCCCGCGAGGAGCATTGCGCAAAATTAAAACAAAAAACAAAAACAAACTGTAATCAGAGTCCTGTAGGCAACAAATGGAGATCAACAACACACTAGTAAAACATATTTTCAATTAGATGTAACACAGTAAATATAACCTTATTTTTTGTAACAAAAGTTATGTTCTACGCGATTCTGGAATTTGAAATTATCACTAAAACTTCTAATCAAAGTAAGCTACCTATAAATAACTGAAAACTAACAAATTAAGAAATATAGCTAATTTAATATAGTAGTCTAATTAGGAATATGTGATGTCATAAAACAACAACTTATAATGATTAGAATGTAATGATTCATCAGTTAGGTACCATCGCAGTTATCCATATTTTCAGTATTTATGACATCCGCCCGTGGTACCTGGGCACGTTTATTCATTTAGTCCCAATAGTTTTTGACTGGGGTTATTAACCTAATTTCAAATATAGTACCCCTGGGACCCCAAGAGGAATCTGGAACACAACATTCGATGTCCAATGTGGATTCAGCAACTCTGAATACATACTAATAGATCCCCACCATACCTGGATGACCCTCCGAGCGCTTTCTGAGCCCCCTAGGTACTCCCTTAGTATAGAGATACACCATATAGATAAGAACACTCCCAGAATCACCTGATCCTGCCTGCGAAATTTGGCCGATCCTACTAGTTTTAAAACTGTGAGAGGAGTTCACGGACAAACAAACAATTTAAATTAATATAGAATAAGATTACTGGAATTATTTATGACTTTCGATTGCGTTGGACACTAAGTAGTTAATATTAATTAAGGACAAATATCCAATCCGATATTACTTTTGTGATGAATCTGATTATCAGATAGCATTTCTATCAACAGATTATAATATTATGCAGACGTGGAATTGGTTGCACGTGTCAAACATAATAGGTACTAGACCATCCGTGACCCGTTGGGTCACCCACTATTCAGAGGTTATGAAGAATTCAAGCTAATTTCAATATTGCACCGAAATGAAGGTTTGTTTTAAAATAATTTAATC